GAAAGGCACGGGACCCCCACCCCCACCCCTTGGGCAGTGGATTGTCCTCCTCGAAACCCGAAATAATATTTGAGACCTTTTCGGCCCCATCTCTGGAAGTTCTGTAAGCTGACCATAGTTACCATGGGGAATTCGGAGTCAGTAGACCTGGGTTCAAATCCCCCCGGGTGTGAAACTCCCTGGGTGACCTCAGCGGTGTCCTTGGCTCTGGGCTGCTTCGCAGGGTTGTGGTAAAGCTACAGTACGACCCCCATATCCGCAGATAGATTCCAAGTGCCCCCCTCCCGCAGATGCTGAAACGTGGATAATAGTAAACACACTACATAAGATGGTCTCTGGCTCTTTCTGGTGGCCTGTTAGGGTTACGTCATCTTTAGAAATAGATATTTCTAAGATTTTTCTTTTAATATTTCTATTTAGTGATCCTGTGGATGGGGGGGGGTTTTCCTACTGTACCTGTGTGTATGTGTGTGGCTCACTGTGGATAAAGCCACGTATAGGTACGAATTCTAAGATATAAATAAATGCAACAACACTAATAATAGCGAATGAATGTCTCTGTACAGGGATTAAATACCCAATATTTCAATTCAGGCCAGAGATGACAAAAGCAAATGTTGTAAGATACTGCATTCAAACTGGCTCTCCGGCCTCTTGGGATGTGAATGTGAGTGTCCGGTCAGTGGCTCTGATGGGCTGAACGGCCCAGGAAGAGGCTGTCGAGTCCCGGTTGCCAACTTTTCTCTCCTGGCCTGGCTTCTCCGTCTTTGAACCCTGGCCTAGGCAAGAGGAAATCAGGTCGCTGAATTTTCTTGCTCCCTCAGCTTCCAGGCACAGAAATGTGTTTCCTCCCTGGGTTTCGGCGTGTTGAGCTGCTGGCGGCAGGGGATGGGGAAGCCAGGAAAAAACCGAGCCTGCAACGAAAAGCTGGAGAGGCGAGATGCTTATTTATTTGTTTAGTTTATTTATTTTATTTGTACCCCGCCCATCTGGTTGAGCATCCTGCTCGTGAGAAGGTGGAAGAAGTTGTGCTTCAGGGGCAGAAGTGGAGGGAGAAAAGCAGGCAGGCAGAGGGGAAACCAGAAGGGCAGGTCTTTTTGTCCCCAGCTGGCTGGATCGAAACGACACTGTTTGTTTCTGGAGCTTGGTGCCCATAAAGAAACTGGGGATGAGAATCTGGAAGGTTCTGGAAGAGTGGAAAGGAAGAGGGAAAGAGCCGGGGAAAAAAATAAATTCTTCTCATCTTGTCACTGGCGTGTCTTATGACACCGGACTCCATCAGTCCCAGAATTGGGAATCCGCGCGGTTGAGGACTACAGCCCCCAGAATCCCCAGCCCCTTTAGGATTCTGGGAGTAGTTCATCCGAAAAAGATATACTGTACAGAGTGTTTTGAACCTCTAGTAAATCCATCTCCCGTTGGATGTGAACCCACTTTCTCCGGTCTCTCCCGAATCTTCGTTCGGGGACCTCAAGCCCTGGGGAAGTTTTCTGGTTTTATTCCGCCTCGCCCACCCGCTCAACCCACCCAGGACGGCCAGAGGATTCTGAGCCTGATGGTCGGAAACAACGATTTCCCCCAGGCTTTGGACAAGAGATGTTGTCGCCTTCCTCAGACCTGGGCTAGAGACTGCAGCAGATACAGCACAGGAGCAGCCCTCATTCGGAAAGTTGGCAACCTCTGGGCCCGGGGAAACTCTTACAGAGCCAGGCCAAACTTCCCAGTCCTGATAACCTTGGGGTGGTTCGGACGACAGCCCCCATTTCTCCCAGCCAGCATGGCTCGCCGCCCACACAGCCGGGAGCTATGGGAGCTGTAGTCCAACCAAGGGCTTGCATGCAAATGCAGGAGAGAGCCACCAGTGTGTGGGGGGGGAACGGAGTGTGTCAAATGAAAAGACTCAGCTTGGTTCCCTCCTTTATTGTTTCCCTCCTTTGTTTTTTCCTGCCAGTGGGGGGAACCTTTATTGCAAACAGTCAGGGCCGCCAAGAGGGAACCCGTCCTCTTCTCCTTCTTCGGCCGCCTGCTCTTCTATCTTCCTCAGGTGAAGCTCGCTCGCCGAAAACGCCAGGCGCCAGTGAGGCCCGGAGGCGGAAGGGGAGAGGTAGAAGCCTCCGGCCGCCTCCTCGTCCGTCAGCTTGCCGTCCCAGAAGTGAGCCTGGGTCAGCCACGGCCGAGCCACCGCCGGCCAGCCTTTCAAGGCCACCACCGGGACGAGGTCGTAGAGGATCCGGTAGGGCCCGACCGCGAGGACCGCCGAGGTGACGCCGCCCCGCTGCTCGACCCTCGCGTCTTTGGCACAGGAGGCGAAGGAGGCGAAAAACCAGTCGGACACCCGCTCGGCGGAGAGGTAAGCCTCGTCCCCCGGGCAACAGCAGTCCGACCAGCGGGAGAGGGCCGGGGCGCCGAAGGGGTGGAGGCTGACCTGGGCGTGCCCGGGGGGGCTCCGCTTCATGTCCAAGGTGACGGGGACCCCGGCCGCATCCAGAACAGGCACCAGGAGGGTGAAGTCCGTGTCATAGTCGCTGCCGGGAGAAAGGGGCTGCAGGCTGCCCGGATCCACCTGGACGGTGCCTTGCTGGACCCCACCGGACAGGAGGAGGTACCGGTTGACCGTCGGGAGCCTCCCGTAGGATTTCTGAACCTGACCTAGAAAAAAGAGGGGGGGGAGGGAAACGCAGGAGGCGGAAGGAGATTAAAAACAAATCCGGAGTGAGAATATGACATTGGCACCGGGCCCTGAAAAGTTCCTTTTAGAATAAACTACAGTTCCCATCATGCCACGCATCTGGGAGCCACGTTCCTGCCACGGAATTCTCCAAGTTTCTCCTTTCTCCTAGAAAGGCAGGGCCGTCAAAACAGAAACAAGGTGGAAATGCAAAGGAATCAACAGATCCAGCATCTTTGCGGTTGCTTCTGCAGCCGTCGTCATCATCCTCATCAGCTTCTTAAAGCTGCAGAGCTGGAAGAGACCCTTAGGGATCATCAAGAGCGGCCCTTCATCAAGGAGACAAAACGACTCGTTTGGATCAGGAAAACGGTGAACCGCAGCCGGTCTGTTTCAGCCTTTTTTCCTCTCCTGCCATTGCCAAGAATTAAGAAAAGGGACCCCTCCCCGGACCTCCCTGTGAGTTGCTAACAGGGATCTGGGCCAGAAACGTGCAAGCAGGGAGGGCTGAAGGAACAACTCCGGCCCCCGTTTGCCCAGCAGGAAGACCTGAGGATCGGGGCCGGAGGTGGAGAAAGACGGAGCTGCGATTCGGGCAGGAAGCTCAGATCCTGCCATTGCCAAGAATTAAGAAAAGGGACCCCTCCCCGGACCTCCCTGTGAGTTGCTAACAGGGATCTGGGCCAGAAACGTGCAAGCAGGGAGGGCTGAAGGAACAACTCCGGCCCCCGTTTGCCCAGCAGGAAGACCTGAGGATCGGGGCCGGAGGTGGAGAAAGACGGAGCTGCGATTCGGGCAGGAAGCTCAGAGCCTGGAATCTCCGCGGCTCCAGACGGTTCCCCCAGGATGGGCCGCAGGCGGTGGCCAAAGGCTTCCAGGAGTGGCTGTCAACTGATCCCAGCTCCGGCAGGAGAGGCTGCGGACTCAAGGGGGAGGGATTAAGAAGCACCGTTTCTCCCCCCCCAGCCCCCAGCCCCCCAACTCACCCAGCAAGGAGAAAACCAGATTTTTCGCCCGGTGCCATTCTTCCGCCGGGGCGTTCCGGATGCCTGCGCTCCGGGCCTCGTACTCCTGGATCAGTTGGTTCAGCTCCTCGATCCGTGCCCCAGAGCGGAAATCCAGGTCCGTGAGCGGCTTGGCCGGAGCTGGTTTCGGCGGCTGGGGGTCCCCAAGTGGGGGAGAATCCATGCCCGAGGCCTCCCTCGCAGGAGGGTGCAAAGAAGAAGCAGGGAGAAAAAGGATCTCCGGCTAAATGGGGAGGAGGGGGGGGAGGAAATAGGATCTGTAGAGGCAGTGGAAACGTGAGAGCAGGCAGCCTGGCCCCTTCTAGACGGGCTGGACTACACTTCCCATCACCCACGACCGAAGCTATACACATCAGTGGTTGTGGTCTGGTCTTAATCTACAAAGCTCTCAAGGGCTTGGGCCCAAATCTGTCTCAAAAACCGCGTCTCCCTTTAGGGGCCTGGCCAGGTGTTAAGATCATCACGACCTTTCTCTCGGTCGCGCCACCTTCGTAGGTGTGTTTGGTGGGGGATTCAGGAGAAGGCCTTCTCTGCGGCTGCTCCTTTAGACTCTGGAACTCCCTGCCACTGGAGGCCAGCCTGGCTGCCGTCTTCGCTCTCCTTCCACAAGCAGCTAAAAGACCTTTTCTCTTCAGGCAGGCTTTCGGTTAAATCACTGGTTGACCAAGGGAATTTTTTGAAAGGGAGCATTTTATTCTGTTGTTTTACTGGTGTTTTTTTTAAAATACTGCTCTCATTATGAGTTTTAATTACGACATCTCTTTAATGCTTTTTGTAAACATGGTATTCATTTATGTTATATTTGGTCTTAAACCTTGTATCTTTTAATACTGCACGCCGCCTTGGATCCCTGAAGGCTGCCTAGAAACATTTTAAACAAGTAAATAGCTATTATTATTTGGCTTTAAACTCTACTGTATCTTTTAATATTGCAAAGCCGCCTCGGATCCTAAGGAGAAAGAAAGGCAGCCTAGAAACATTTTTTATAAATAAAGAAATAGTCCAGCCGGTCCGAGGGGGGGGGGAGGCGCCCCCTGGTGAACGGATTTCCCCTTTCCGCGTTCAGACCCATCAACCGGGACCGCCGGCTTTTCCTGCTGGGCTGGGGATGATGAGACTTGTAGTCCGGCCCATCTAGGGACCCAACCCCATCCCGTCCTCAGCCACCCTGCTTCCTCTTTTCTCTTCCTCTCTTCCTCTCTCCCTGCTATCACCTTCGCCTTCTTCGTC